GCTGCTTCTGTTTCGGCGTGGTCGAGTCCAGTCGGTAAAGCCAGAGGCGTAGCGAGGGGAGGGGCGGGGGGGACATATGTCCCCGGGCGCCGACCTTAGGGGGCGCCAAAATGGGTTGGAAAAACAAATTGAAAGTTTGAGGGGGGTGCAAATCGAAAGTTTGTCCCCGGGCGCCGGGAAGGGTCGCTACGCCTCTGGGTAAAGCTTATGTTTGCTAAACCGAAAAAGTCTCGAGTTCGAAACCCTCGGGCAGATGAGGCTCATTAGCTGGGGACAACCACTCTTCTAGGAGTAACTACTCCAAAATCAAACAACTGCTGCCTTGTAGTTTGTTCTTGATTGGACTGAAATCCAATCTGGAGCCTGTCTAGTGATGTTGCTGGTTGGTTTATGTATGCTACTGTGTCCAATCCATCCCCATTTGCGCTTTTGTATTTCTTTACAACTAATGCCTTACCCAGGTTTTCTCTTAAGTTCAACTTTGGTAATTTTTTTCAGGCCACCTAAAGTTCAATATGAAGCGGAGGCAACCGTTAATGGAAGTCTGATGTGGCTTTTGATGTCCGCATCTGTTCTCCCATCCTTGCTAACTACACTTCCTAAAGTGTAGTTATGTGAAGCGATCCACCTCAGAAATAGCCATTTCTTGTATTCTAAGAGGGAGCTCATGTTTTTTTTTTCAAATAATCTTTAAGCCTGTCTTAAGCATTTCTTCGCTGAGTTTACTTATCTTGGACTGGGCATGCTGTTGTGGTTTTGAGAGGAGGCTGACGTCATTTAGTGAGTCTCCACTGCATTCCAGATTTTTACTGTTATAAAATAATGTGTAATATATTTTAATTTCTAGAGACGGTCGGTTGTCAGTGAAGCAGAATCAGCAGGAATGTCGTGGACCCAACTGTGAAATCGCCCAAAACCGCGTAGGTCTACACGTTTTCAGTGTTTCTTCCAGACTTTTTTTCGCGGGGGGGGGGGGGGGAGGGGGGCAAGATTTTTTCCAGGGAGGGGAGGCGAACACTGGTTAAAAGTATGTTTTCTATATAAATTCCATGTCGTTCTTCCCCCCCCCCCCCCGAAGAGATGCCTGAAAGAAACTCTGCACGTTTTAATGTGCAGTTCCGGCATAACTTAATTGGAGCAATGATAATTAAACGTGTAACAAATAAATAAAAAGAGAGTGTTTCTTTCCGAGTTTCTTTCTCCGTGGGGAGGGGGCGCACTTGAAATTTATTTCGGGGGGGGGGGGGGAATCTGGTAAAAGTATATATTTATATTTTCTATATAAATTATATTTCGTTGGGGGGGGGGGGGCTCTGAAGAATGCTTGAAAGGAACTGTTGGCCAATATCACCCCATGTACTATTGCAACACATAACCAGGATGATAAATCACAGCCACGCATACATAACACGAATAAACATAACGCTAATGACAAGAAACACGTTAAGTTGTCTGTAAACTGATGTTTTGGTTGTTTTTTTAACTGGGAGACGCGGAATTTTTCATGTGACTTATTTGTGAGCAATGTGCGTGTATGAGCGGGTCGGCGAGGGGGGGGGGGTAATGTCGCCTTATGTTAAGTGACGTCATTAATGGACGGCCCCATAAGCTATTTAAATCCCTGACAAATATTTGAAACCTGACGCAATGAAATGTCGTTTCACCGAAACGTTCACGTTCCCATTCCGCAGTAGGTTAAGTTAGGGTCTATTTATAACACCTTGAAATAAGATTAAGAGGCAATCGAATTATAAATCCGTAATTTAAAAAAAAAAGGCCTTATGTTGAATTGGTTAGCTGTAATAAACGATATCATACTAAATCTATCTATATGGTTATTTTATAGCTTAGGGTTACTTTATACTTATAGGCTACAGTTGCGTAAAGAATATCGCAAACATTAATTAGACCTAACTGTAACACTAAGCCTAACACTGGTGGTGTCGTCCCTCCAACGCAACAGTTCTTTTGAAAAATTAGTCCAACTTTCAATTTACTGTTGAGGCTATTTTTAGCAGAATCATAAAGACCAACTGTCATATACCGGATAAGCCCAGAGGCTTCATATTTAATTAGCATTTTAAAAAAAACCCACTAGATTCTAGCTACTTATGTAGGCCCTACTCGTCTCGTCTGCAAAAAAAAAAAAGTATGCCTTTTTAAAACTGAAGGTATTTAATTAATTTAATAATACAAATTACATGTCACTAATTTACAGTGAAAATGTGATACAAGATATAACCATACGACCAGGCTTTACTTGACGACCTTGTAAAAGATTACGTCAGCCGGGTGACGTGTACTTCATAAATAGAGCAAACGAGCAATTTCGTCAGCATAGCAAAATCTCGAAGTCGGTGTATGATCAACCATTGCATATTCATGAGATAGCTTCGTCAAGGTTAGAAAGCTGATTGCTGATTGGTTAGCGACCGGTGTTTTGAGTTTATACAACGGCGCAGGCTCAGCTGTAGCGTATTTTCATTTCAGACTTTCTGCCGGTGTACTTTTGGATTCTTACTTATTTCTTTACTCGGCGTGAAGTTATTTCATCATTCGGTATACCAGCCGGCACGTTTGTGTTTTTGCCACATTAGACAATAGTTTTTAAAATGGTTCGTGTCGTTAGTCAAAATTTTAGTCCACCCAGAAGCCGACATAGCTCTGGTGAAACGGACAGAGATCTTGCGGAAAGAGCCAATGCAGCCCTCTCTTCTTTAGGCCGTAAACGTTTTGAAATTTCTGAATACGAATCGTCAAGTGATTCATTTTGGGATTCGGAATTGGATGACACTCTTGTATCTGAGGGTGGTGAAACAAGTAACGATATTAATGGAAATGAAAACGCTGAAAAATCGGTAAGCATTTATTTTATTTCATGACCTACTTTTATTACTCAGCTGCTGGTGATCAGCTGTCCAGGTGCTGATCGGCTGCATGCTCGTACTACGTCACAACATTGTAGATTTTTTCCAGCCTTTATACTTCGCTTGTCTGCTGTTTTGCATTAACCTCAAATTGTATTGCTTTTTAGCACTTCAAATAAACATAAAGAAAGCATTTTCCCATCTTATATTTTGATATACATTTAAATACATTTAAAAAACTCTTTGCAAAGCCCAGCTGATTGAGGTCATCAGGGGAAGTCATCCTGGTCCCAGCTGATCTGAGCCCCGCCCACATTTTAAAAGTAACTAACAAAACTTTCAAATTTACCCAATTTAAACTAATAATACATTTAAATTTTTCTTTCTTTTATATTAAAGTATCCTTATATAAAAGTATGACATACTTTTGCAATTTAAGAAGTATACTTGGAGGATATTTTCTGCATTTTTTTACCTCTCAAACTATGCAAAGACAATCTTGCATAAATTAACTTATTTTAGCCGTATTAAAATTGACTGTAGAAAGCATAGCCCCTCCTTCCTTTGTCCCCCTTCAGGCCTACGTTCTCGATAGCCCGGCTTGAAGGCCACGGATCTAGATCTACGTGATACATAGCCGCGATTGCGCTTTCAACATGTAACCGAAGCTAATTGCGAAATGTCTGGGCAGAGATAATTTAGATATTCTTAGGTCTAGAAAATCTAGATCTGGATGTTTTTATTATAAAGTCTATTTAATTAATAATTTTTTTCAAAAACTAAAATTACAAAGTTAAAAAATAAATTAAAATGAACTAATTATTAGCGTAAAGCTTATAATATTATAATAATATGAGTATTATGAGCCCTAGATTAGTAGTGTAGATTTAGATAGAATCTAGATTCTAGATCTATATAGAGATCTATAATTTAATTATATCTATATATACTTTGCCTTTTTACTAGTATACTTCTTACTCCCCCCCCCCCAAACAGAAATTGTCTTAAAGAAAACAGCTATAGAGACTATTTAGTATTTAGAACATTATTTTAAATACAATGAACATGTCTGTATATCTAAAAGATCATATTTATAGTCTACAAGCCTGTCATAACATGACAATGCTGTAGCTTATTGAATTGGTAGCCCACTACTAGCACTAGATCTAAGTCAACTACAACAAACAATGCATGCTTAGGCCTACTAATAATTTTTTTTATCCTTTGACTAGCTTAATTAATTAGGTTTTCCTAGTTAAGTTTCGGCCTAACTAAATATACTTATAATTTACATATTTGTAGAAAAATGTGAAACAAGCAAATGCTAAAGTAAATGTCTGTCGTCTGTCAATTCAAACTGCAGAACGGGATCATCATAATCTTTTCCCATTCATGCCCAAGATACATTTGGCAGATAAAGAAGAGTTCATCTGTTATATCTAGCAACCTCTGTATATGAAGGGATAGTGTGGTCAGCACTATGCCCAGCTGCTTTTATTTTCTCTAATGTGAGTTAGGTACCTAACAGAGCTGGGTGGACGAAGGGACATCTTAATGACTTGAACCCAGATTTGAACTCTAGACTTTCGAGACAGTCTAGTGCTCTACCTTAGGGGCACGCCGTCCCTACAGAATAGGATAACCTTCTGTTATAAATTAAGTGGACGTGTAATGTAAACCTACTTTAGATAACAATTAAACAAAATGACATTGAGTTTTATTACCTTAAACTTTAAGGCTTAAAGCCAGTGATAACATTGATGGATGTAGTGTGTTCAGTTGTGTTAAGAGCTAGGTCAATGATTAAATCTGCTGTGGTTATTGCTTTTGTGTATTCAAGATATTAAAATCCAACCTAAAAGTACCAAGTTTTTCTTTACTCCGTCTTTAAACATAACATTGTTAAACTTGCCAAGTAGTCTGATATGACCCTGAGGGCTGTGTTTTTTTTTAAAGGTATAGCCTAATCCAGGGGCGTAGCGAGGGGGGGGGGGCGGGGGGTGTGGACCACACCGGGTGACACCATTTAGGGGGGGTGACACCAAGGCAAAAAATAGCAAAATATAAAGAGAAAAACTTGAGGGGGGTGCAAATCGAAAATTTGAAAGTTTGTCCCCGGGAAGGGTCGCTACGCCTGGGGGGGGGGGTGGCACCATTAAGTCCCGCACCGGGTGACACCCGACCTCGCTACGCCACTGGCCTAACCAATGATCATTCTATCTGAGACTATCTCTAAGAATTTTATCTTTAAAATAGATATATCCAAACACTTGATTTATATCAGTACTTTTATAGGTTATTGAATACTTAAATTTATTTTCAGGAAGTGCAAATTAAAAGAAAAGAGCGACGACGTGAAAGAAATAAACTTTCTGCCCAAGCGTACAGACAGAGGCGAAGATATCAAAATGTTAAAGAACAGCAGGTAAGACTGGATTAAAGAAATAAATGTACCATCAGTAAGATAAAGTTCCCTTTTTGAACCCGATGGTCGAAGGGACAAAGGAGTTTGCCTGTTTCTGTGATCTGGCATATGAAGGAATAGTGCGGTCACCACTATGCCTTTGTTAGTTAGGTACCCATCAGAGCTGGGTGGACTCGGTGAGGCATGAATATATCTTCAAACTTTTATGACAATTGCTGAGGGAGAGGTTAAGGAAATATGGCTTTGTATATTTTTCTTTATATTTAGCTATGGTTGGGGGGGGTGTAGATATTTTTGATGTCATTTTGGAGCTGCAGGGCTGGGTTTTTAAAATATTAAAATGTGGGATACTAAAAAAGATGTGACACAATTTATGGACGACATTTAAGCAAAAATATGAACAATATTTAATTAGAGTAAATGTGCAGATGTTTAATTTGTTTTAAGGGACATACATAATGATGTAATAACTTGTAATTTGTAACTTTTTTTTTCAGCAACTCATGCAGCTGGAAGCTGAGAACAAAAGACTGCATAAACTTGTCGAAGCCCTAGAGAAAAAAACCGAAGATGCAAGACAGCTTTTGCGAGGACATTCAGTCCCCATGCCAGAACCCATGGGAGCTGCTGGAGGCTCGTGTCCCATTACACCACTTAGCTATGAAAATAGTGTTGAGAAGACGCCTAACAAGAACACACTGAGTGCTTGTCCTGCTTATGTGGCCCAGTTAGATTATAACCATCACCCTCCTTTCAACCCTAATTCTATGAAAAAATTAAACATAGATCCTTTTAAAAGATTACCCGTTCCTTTATTTTCAAATCCAAATCCTGTGTCTGTTAATCCACCTAACCAGGATAACCCCCCTGTTTTGTTAATCCCAGGGAATAAAAATCAAAGTATTGAAAAAAATTTAAATAGTAACGCTTTTAAAACCTTTAAGCCTTTGTCTAAGCCTTTAATGAATCAGGATGGTCCATCTCCCCTTAATCTTTGTAGTGCCCCAACTTGTAAAGATGAAACTAGAATCTCTCCTTGGTGGAATGTGAGCTCGGAATCTGTCTTTAGCGTTAATATGGAATCGTGCAATAACATAAATTTCAACAATGGACACTGCAATGCTGCCTCTGAAGTAGGATTTACAAATGATGCAAATGGCAACAAGAACTGTGATGAAAAGTTTATCCTCGACCCGTCTACCAATGCTAATTTAGTGACTTTAAATTTGAATCAAACCACAGCTGAGAGTTGTTTCCAGAAGCGTCCAGAGATAGAAAACAACCCTCGCAAGTTAATGTCTCCATCTCTCAAGTACAATGTGGCCCCGGCCGAACAAGTCATGCCTGTTTCTGTCAAGTAAATAAGCAAATCATGCTTGCTACCCCGTATTGCAAATTTAAAGCATGTTTGTAAAATTATACAAAGATCTGATCTCTGTTGGTTGAGAAAGCATTTGTTATAAATACTACATAATTTGAAATAAATGTGTAATTTAAAAAAAAAAGTATATAAAAATTGAGCTAAATATTGTAAATATATTTTTTAAATTTAGCTGAGTGTACATTTAAATTGCAACTTTGTTTAGTCATTTCGGAGCAATAAACTAAAATAATCTACCAGCAAGTAAATTAGAATTAATTATAAACGAAATACCTTTAGCTATTTTAAAAAAGCCAGTGCTAGATTTATAAATGGTGCTGATCACTTTGATATGAAACTTTTCCCCTGATAATTTTTTGCACATCTGTGATTACCGGACATGCTGTTAGAATCCAGCAACTAAGTGTAGCGACCCCCTTCTGGCGCAAAAAACTATTCCCCCTCCCCCCCTCCAATTTATATTTTTGTTAAAAAGCGCTTATCCCTCTCCCAATTCCAAAAGGTCAGGCGCTTTTTTAACAGTCACTGTCCCTTAATAGTTTTTATTTTGGTGTCACACAGTTGTTGTAGAAACCAGTTAAATAAGTCTGTAAAGCCAACTAGTAGTCTATCTTCTTTACTTTGTGTACTTTTTAGTAAAGTCTACTGCTCCTACCTAACTACGACTTTGGTAATGTGACATATTATATTGTTAAATATGTTGCTTCCTATGCGCAACACTTGGCGTGAATGACACTTAATAGTAACACCAACTTAATCTCTTTTCAAAGAATAACTGTAGAAATTGTCTTAGTAAAATTTATGTTTAACAAGCAATACTGAATTTGTTTGGGTAATTTGCTGTTTTCCCCCTTAAAAGATATATACGCTGTAAAATGTTTTACCAATATTGCTACAAATTAGCTAATGTACCTTGAATTTGTTTTTTATAAATTTTAAATTACCCTTTTTTTATATTTTAGCATGTATTTTTATAATGTGTAATATGATGCTTATTACATAGTCACATTTTTAAATTTAAAAAGTATGAAATATGAAAGTATGACATTTTATTGCTTTAAATAGTACAGAATGTGAGTGTATTCTTTAGTTTCTTTTATTTCTATGCATCCTAACATGTGCTTGTTTAATAACAGATTTTAAATACCAATACAAACATTTAAACTAGATAGATCAATATAACAAACTTAGGCAATCTTACATATCTAATACATTTAGTAAGCTTCCTATCATCAAAAAAGTAAATGGGAATATTTAAGCAAAAATATTTTTAAAAAAAGCTCACAAAAATCAATTCAAATAAAATGTATTAAATTTATCAAATCCTGGCAGTTAATATTTGTTAAATTATTTCATAGCCCCTTTAGATTTATTTTTGGTATCAGCTTTGTCTTCTGCTTATCTGTTCTTGATAATGAGTTTAATATGTACTAATGAGCTGGGTGAAAAAGTAAGGGTAAACCATTCAACCAGGAGTTGTAATCAACCATACTATGAATTACTATGTGTTTAACATTTTTAACTTAAAGGCTATTTGTTGGCTATTTTTACATTCAATTTAGCTTTTTCTTTTTAATGTTTGCTTATTATAATATTGTAAGGTTATAGTTAAATGGAGTTAGCTTTAAGCTTAAATAACCTATCTTTAAAAATGCATTTTTTAAATGAGTTCAAATTTTGCTACTGTTTTATATAGTTGAGCTCTAACAAAGATTTTAAAATGGTTTTTGCTTTGTATAGAACTATTTTAAAATGTTTTGTTAAACACATCATTATGTAATGGTTACCCTTGATTACAACCAGGCAGTAAAAATAAAATATCATTAAAGCTTATTTTCCTGTTTATTCTTATTTTTTTGGAAATATTGCAGCATACAAGTAATGTATGCATGGTAATTTTCTTTTAAAATAAATTCAATCATATCCTGCACAAAAGCAATCATCAATTTATCTGATTTGTAATTTGCCATATTAATAATTTTTCTAATTCTTTTTGTCAAGTATGTTGCTTAATAAACAGCACATTATCTTGTATTCATTGTCATTTTTAATGTTAGTATAAAAGTATTGAAAGTATGTTTGTTCTTGTCATTGATGGTGAGTTGGCTTTATGCAAGGAAATAATTTGTTGTAGATAGTAAATAAAAAAAAAACGTAAGTAATAGCTTACTTTTCCGTTTAGTCTGCTCTAGATTAAAATCTGGCTACTGTAATGTGACATTTTCACACCATCAAAATCAAATTAAGTCTACATTGCCTGTTAGCAGGAATATAATCTGGCATCTAAAATGGGCTAAATACTGAAAAGTGACAAAACCTACATTGGTTGTTAGGCATAATATACCAGATTCAACTAAAAGGGGAAACAAATATTTTAAAATTTGAATTTTTTTATTTTTCTCTATATACGGTACATAAAAATAAAAGACTATTGTGGTTCGAAACAGTTTACCCGAGTGCCATAAAACTTAGGGAGTTGATGAATAACCCCGAGAAGGTTTGTGTGTGTGTGTGGGGGGGGGGGGGGGTTGTGATTGATGGGCGGTGGTGGGAGAGGGGATTTAATTTTACATGGGCGGCCCCCGGCAATATGCGATTTGGCGCCCTGGTCTTTCCAGTGAGCGCTATGGATACTACGGTCGGTCTAAACAGTGTGATAGACAATAGATAAGATGGGGCATTACAAACGCTCACTAAATTGAATCAAGCGTGTCCGCCGGCGCCCTGGTATGGAGCAACTTTCAGTTTAGGTCCACAAAGACTCACATGGGCCGTTGAGGGCCATGTAATACGTTTTATTTTAATAATCAGAAAAATTAACCAAGGTTAGATTATAAACTGGGATGTTTCTTTTTGTCCGTAAAAAAATCCAAACAGTTTCTTCACTTTGCGAATGATGCAATTACCATCTATTTTTAGACATTCCAATCAGAAATTGAGATCGAGCTTCTAATAATAGACCATTAGTAACGCTAACATTGCATCAGTCACACTGATGTTTAAAACACATCAAATAATTTTTTTACGTGTTAAAGAAAAAATCCTGTTCATTTGTGTCACTTCAGCGAATGACGCAATCTGCATCATTGTTAAGAGGAAGCTATTTGGCACTCTGGGTTATCCCATGAGCATTACAGCGCCTGTTAGTTTTAAGGAGCCAGGGGCCGTAAGCGGCGTCTATGCGGTAGTGCAGGGGTCGGCAACCTGCGGCTCGCGAGCCGCATGCGGTTCTTTTGATATCAAGATGCGGCTCTCCAGCTCCTTGCACAAACACTAATAATCTTAATAAAAAAATAAAATATTTAAAATTTAAAAAATGTTAGTGGCTCTTTAAAACCAGGGAAATTTTGAAAATTGTAACTTTTGGCTCTTCCGCTTCAAAAGGTTACCGACCCCTGCGGTAGTGTAATGGGATGGGGGAGGGGGCTCCTGAGAACCCCTCTACGTCCCTGACACATGGGCGGTCACCGAAGTGTGTTCTACCTCATTATTTCGGTGAGTCATTAATGTACACTCAAGGTTTTCATGCGGTAGTATAGGTAAACCCGTGTCCCGATATTTATGATCCAAGCGCAGGCATTGTTTACATTTAAATAACTCACTTTTAGAAAACAAGGTCACGCGTCTAAGAATATAGGATTGGTATCGCATGGATAAAACCCTTCTTATATATTTCATCGGACTTTCTTATATTTCCGCGGAGGGGGGGGGGGGTGTCCGTAATTTTGTGACGGTGTGTGATGAGGGGGAGGGGTTCAGATGGTGCGACGTCACACTTTTGCATTAAAAAAAAAGCAAAGTTAGAAAATGAATTTTAGACGTTATTTCGCGTTTTAGAAAACTGTTTTAATAAATTTCAATAGGTATTGATTAAAAGACTCTATTTTGACAGAGTTCAGACAAGATTTTGGAAAAATATCGATGTTTTAAGGAAAATTCAACTGCAATGTTGAGGGGGGGGGGGGGGGGTTGTAGGCTGAAGTGTGACGTAATTTTAGGGGGGGGGGGGGGTAGCGATTTTTGTGACAATGTGTGACGTAGGAGGGGGGGGGGGGTAAAAATCGTAAAAAAAAACGTGACGTCATTTTTGGATGACCCCCATAGAATATTTTTTTGTGGACAAAGGGAAACAACCAAGTTAATATTATTCCTCTGATTATTCAAAATTCAATAGGCCTATTCCTCATTTTTATTATAAAGAACCGGGCCGAAATTGAATATTTTTTTTGGCAGAAACCCCCCTTGAGTATTCTCATTAAAGTTTCATGGCGATCGAATGAAAGGATAAACAAACCCACATACTTTCATTTATATATATTTATATTATTGATAAATCAATGTCCTTTCTGTGTTACTACAGCTTTCATCTGACCGCTACTTAGCTCCCACATTAGCATAATTGCCCATATATATATATATATATATATATATATATATATATATATATATATATATATATATATATATATATGGGGTTTGTTTTACCACGGTTGATTATATATATATATATATATATATATATATATATATATATATATATATATATATATATATATATATATATATATATATATATATATGCCTATATATATATATATATATATATATATATATATATATATATATATATATATATATATATATATATATCAACCGTGGTAAAACATACCCCAGGCCCCTTTTGAGACGGATAGATCAACTACAATCTAAGCTATGTGCACGATCCAATAATATAGTAATAGATCTAGAAACACGTTCTTTGTGTTTTATTTACTACGAGCCGACCCGCGGTGTATCATACGCCGCTATTTAGTTGTTTTTTCTACTTTTCAGCAATTCATAATTTGTGAATTCGACAGTACCAATGCTGGGGGGTGGGGGTAGCGGTAGAGAGGAAGAGAGGGGACTGCAAGGCGCACGCTTGCAGCTTGTTTTCTAACGGCTCCCAGAAGAGAATTATATATAGATCTATAGATAACACGTAGATCTAGATCTAGATCTAGATCTAGATCTAATTTTTATATTCTAAAGATCTAAAAAGGTTTTGGGTGCCCATGATAAATAATTTCAGTATAGATCTAGATCTACAAAATACATAGATTCTCTTTTTGATTATTAGGGCTAGTCTAGGTCTATAATATGTTATCATATTATGGATCTAGATCTATATTCTACATAATGAATAAATATGGTGGTAATGGTATTTAGCCCTGCTCAATTTAAATTTTTAAGTATTTTCTTTTAATGCGAAATTCGAATATAAAGGGATCCAGATTTAGATTAGAATGTTGATTTCTGGACTGTTAGTGACTGTTCGCAGTATTAGGGGCAAGTGTTAGACCTTGTGTATAACAGTTAATGAGTTAACTCAGGTTGTCAAGTAAGTAGATCTAGGCCTAATAAATTTTAATATAGATAAACGAGCTGACCCGCGACGAAGCAGACGCCGCTATCTAGTTGTTTTATTTTCTACTTATCAACAATTCATAATTTGTGAATTCGACACTACCCCACTGCCCTGCCTCCACCCCCTCCCCCATCCCGCCCAGTGAAGGCAGCCGTTACAAGTTTACAGACGACAATAAAATTTTAAAGAATATCAAGCAGAACTTGTTATCTCCCCTTAGTTTTAAATCGTTTAAAAACTAAAAATTATCTGCCCCTAATATAATATATAGGCATTTTTATGAGAATTTCAGAATGATTTTTTAAATTAAAAATGTATCAATATAAATATAATAAATAATAATAGTATAGCTGGCACTAAACTAAGCCAATTTAGCATAGTTTAGCTTTCTGTGCAAAGTCATTATTACTGAAAAAAATTCCAAAGTTAGGTCAGCATGTAGATCTGGTAATCTATCGTTTTAGGTACGTAAAATCGGCCGCGACTAGTAATGTGAAAAACAGGTGATTCCTTAAATTTTAATAATTATTTCACATTTTGAGGAGGATTTATGTTTTGAAAAATACAAAAATGTTTCCTTGTTTCATTTATGTACGTGTTTTTAAACATTTGAATTAAAACTTTTCAGTAATAAATGAAGACTAGCGATGTTTCCAACAGATGCAACCATGCTCATTTACTATAGCAGCCATCTTGTTTATTTTTTTAAATTGTAAACTTATAGCGCGAGATTCAAGGGGAAGCCACTCTATTTATCTATAATATTTGACACAAATATATCACAATATACTTCTATTAAAGCCTTGACAATGCGGTAACTTTTTCGTACATTACTAGCCGCGGGCGATTTTACGTACCTAAAACGATAGATTACCGCATGTATTGTGGCACCCTCCACTGAACTTGACGAAAGGAAAAAAATATTTGACTTGTGACCTTCATTAAAACAGAATTTAATTTTAATTATTAGTAAACATGTGTTTTATCTAACTCAAAAAGTAATAAAAATTTGAAAATTAATCTTAATTACTGTTGTAAAATGAGATAAACAGCTTAATAAATTATAAACACATGCTTTCTTGAGGGGGTGTGGCCCGGGTGTGGCACATCGCAATTATAACTTTATATTTCTGTGTTTTATGACTATATTTGTACACAATCAGCATGCTATGCTTTTAAAATCAATAAATGAATGGTAAGTATACCAAGTTACAAAACCTGCAATCTAATTTCCGCTGACCGGAAGTAGTAATTTACGCTATTTCCGATTTCTCAAAAAGCGCATGTGAATTTATTACGTACTAATAATATTCCGCATTATTATATACAGATTATTGGGCGTTCACTTTTAAAAAGTTTAGTAGTTAGTAGTATTAGTAGGCAGCATATAGTATAGACTAGTTAGGTAGAAATAGGAAATTGAGTTATGTAAATAAAGAACATTATATTTTGAATTGGACTTGTGTGTGGTGATTTCACAATACCGACCAGGCTCGGGTAACATCTTCATCACCCTCACAGTGCCATAATAAAAAAAAACCTGCATGTTTCATTGGTCGGTATCAGGTGTAGATGAACCCCTTAGATTGGTACAAGAAATTATGAACCCATTTATTTTTATGATGTTAATTTTATAAATTTAATTTTTCAGAGACATTTGTAAATACAATGAATAACTTCAGGAAAACTAGAATATATTTGGATAAAAATGCACCTGGGAGCAACACCAGAAAAGTATTTGATGATACTGATAGTAGTGAGGGAGAAACTGAATATAGTGAAAATAATGAATTCCTACCTTATAAAAAAGCTGAATTAAAAGCAGCTGCAGAAGTTTTGAAAAAAGAAAACTTTGTTGTGTTCTTTAATAGAACTAAACGAACAATTAATGAAGACGATGCCAATTCACCACACAACTGGGGAGAAGAGAGTGACAGTTCACCATTCCCGATGCCACCTATAGTTTTCTTAAATAAGCTGCCTCAAGCCAGTGATGCATCATCAACCACCAAAGAAACTGTTGACGATAGTGGAGGAAATATTGGTTCAGAAATTATAGCAGTTGAAGAAGACTTAGTTTTCAACATTAAATCAACTAAAGCAAACTGTAATACACATTTAAAAGAGAGAAAATGCAAGAAAAGGAAAAAAAGAAATTCAGATCCACCTACATGTGTAGAAAATAGTTTTCAACCTAATGACATATTAGAGGTCCCAGCAAATAAAATAAAAAAACATAGCTGTATAGCTGCATCAGGGGATGTCACTCAAGATTGTGACTCTACCATAAAAGTCGCCAGAGAAGTAAACCCAGGAAGAGAGCCTAATTTAACAGACAGTGATGATTATTCTTTTGAGCTTTCTGATATCAAAGATCAAAATTTGTGCGAAAGTGCCAGTGTTTCTTTCTATTTGAACAAACTTACTTCTTTTAAGTCGCAGTTACTTTGTTTAAATGAAGAGTTCTGCTTGTATCAAAACACCTGTGAGAAAGAAAACTTGCAACATCGCTGTACCAGTCTTAGGTTATTAATTTCAAGAATGGTTACACTGAATTCTGAATATCAACACATTCGGGTAGCTGAAAATATACGTTCGCTTAAATGGAAATTTTCTGAATCAAAAAAAGCTCTGTTCAAATCCCACGCTGAGCCAATCTCATCAGGATTCCAAGAATTTCAAGGGAAGCTTTCAACGTTTTTTTCAAAAGTAAAAAAATCTGTGAAGAAACATAATGCATTATTAATATCAGGAGACATAGAGTATTTTGTTTGTTTTAAAAACTTCAAGCTTCGGCGAACCAATCCCAACAGCAAAAAAAAGAAAGTTACGGAACCGGTGGAAGAAATCTTTCTGCAGTTAAAACCTGCTTTAATTCAACTCTTATCACCAGCCAGCAAGTCCATCCCTGAGAACAGAGGGAAAAAAATAATTCTGGAAATTTTAAATTCCTGGAAAATGGAAATCGAAAATTTAAACAAAGAGGTTGTGGTGGCGAGAGCGTATTTAGATATCAACCAGAAAAATATTGGATGTGAGCAAGCCATTGCTTGTAGCTACCTCAATACATTATCCTCAAAAATAGTAGACTTTAATTTAAAGTATGAGAAGTTTAGACTTGCCCATAAGCCCTATGGTAAACCTAAGTACAGACTGTGGAGTTTTTGTGACTCCACAAGGAAAGTATTAGGAGCGGACTTAAAGTGTGTGAAATCAGGCTTTAGTTGCATCAGAAATGCTTTAGACAAAATTGTTCTGTACTTCAGGGATGCTGTAGTAGATCATAAGGAAGCTCTAGGAAGAAAGATAAACTTCCCTCATGGAGTCATTTTGGTCAACAATAAAGCAGAATCAAAAATTAGCAGACACTTTTTGTAATTTCCTTCTCTGTAACTATAACTATAGAAGTGAACCAATGTGTTGATGTTCAGACTGTAAATATTTATAAATTATATAAAATACATGCCTACAGGCATAATGCTTACATAAATATATGATTTTTTAAATAAAAGCATAGGAGTGGGCAGAAATCCAGTAAATTGTCTTAGATTACTGTTTTTTTTTGGGACAGTGTGTTAGCGCGCTCAACTGCTAAGTCAAGTCTAGAGTTCTATTCCCGGGCTGGAGACTATAGAACGTCCTGAGTCTATCCCAGCTCTGATGGGTACCTGACTCATGCTAGGAAAAGTAAAGGTGGTTGGGCATAGTGCTTTCCATACAATCCCTTTGTATGCTGAGGTCACTGAATCAGGCAAACTCTACTTCATCTGCTCCATGGACCGTAAGGTTTCAAAGTATATGACCAGAAACGGCACTTTATTGATTAACATAATAGAGGCTTCATAAAAAATGACCATGGCAACATAATTTTTTCACAATGCAAGGTCTAAAGTGAATGGAGTACGTGGTCATCAGTTTTACGTAAAGCTATTTAAGCTGATATTCACCCGCTCTTCTTATTAAAAGTCAGAACCCCTTTGAATTAATGTTACTAAGTTCAGCTTCCGCTACAACAGATATTCTCACATAAATTAACAAGTTGAAGGTTACATCACATTTCTTAACCCCCATTTCCGGTGGAGCTCCTGGAAAAATTCTGTGAATTTTAAGAGAAGCTGAAAGACTAATAAGATTGAAATGTTAAACTGCTAGAACGCTGAATGCTCTCCCCTTTTTGTTCTTATGCAATGTCTCTTCCACATTTGTAACAGTTGCCTAGATGGGAGGTAGTCACAAGATGATAGAACATCCCCCCCCCGTAGTGTGTGACTCCAATTATGAATGATGCTTATGTCAAGATATTTTAATATTTACAAATGGGTAATGAGTGTATGGTTAGTATACCATTTTGAAATGTTTTGAAAATGTTTTCTCAGAACCTGTTGAAAGTTAAAATATTGGTGTAAAACAAAGGCAACATTTTCTTTTTTTTTCCTTGTAGGTCAAATAAAATACAAAACTAATTCTGAGATTATTCTTTAAAATAAATTTCTTTAAGAATGTGAATTTTTGTAGACTACCTAGAATTGAAGTGTTTGCTGCATTTACTATACTTTGTTGATATCAAATCATTTTTTGTTGCATGATTCAAATAGATAAATGATATAAGAACATTTTTTTTTTAGTCAAACACCATTTTCTAGAATATTTAACTATATGAGGTGTGTGTGGTTGTTTAATAGTAGTATGCTATGCTTGAGATGTGTGGTTGCTCAGGAAGTATAAGTTATAACAACAGTACATTTTTCTTGAATGTAACTTTTTTGGGTTTTCAGAAACAGTTATAGAATGTGAGAAAATGAGAATGTTTTTTTAAAACATTTTGAAAAGACTAGTTGTAAAATGACTACAATGACAGTAATAGTTGTGCCATTTGTTTCATTTTAATTATGTTATTATGTACTTTTGTAATACACTTTTCAGGTTGAGTCTAAAATATAGACATTTTAATATCTAGTAACCTATGACAGTGCTGTTCATATGGAGATCTGATATTTAAATTAACTCCTAATTTATAATGGTAATCATGTTAGAAGTAAAATATTTGGTTTATTTCTGTCAGTTTTAATTCTTAAAATTTAATTTATGATTAATATATTAAAACCTTGTTGATTTAAATGTTGATATGTTTGACATAATAGAGGTATTACATTAGAATTGTGTGTCTTAGAATGCTGTAGTAGTATTCTTGGTAAAACCTTAGTTTAGCGTCGGTTATTATTCAGGAATCGTATAGCAGTAAAAAACAGTAAAACAATGCCAAAGTCTGTGACACACTTCCGGAATTCACCGGAAGTACTGTAAACCATACTTTATTAGGCGTCATCTTTTATTTTTATACAGAATGTTTAAAATTTGGATAGATTTATTTTTGTAATCATTTTTACATTTTTTAATCATTTTTACTATTTTCGTATTCTAGATTTTTTTTACTTGGCCTAGCAGCTAGATATCTAGCTAGATCTAGATCTAATTAATTAATGGTCGCAAATCCGCTGCAAGCCAAAAAACATTAAATTATAACATTTGACTTCATTATTTATATTAATGTTTTTTTTTTTTTTTTTTTTTTTTTTTAGATCTAATTTAAATCTACTATTATATTTATTCTTGTTTCCTTTTGTTGATTAAACTTAAAAAAATTAAAACAATTTACTACAATCGACTTTCAATTTATTTATATTTCAATGGTCAAATAAACCATGGTTTACCGTAACTCTAGTTACCGAAACTCAACAAACATTACCCGATAATTTCCGACGCTAAACTAAGGTTTTACCGTATTCTTAAGTATTTGGTTTATTTTGTGCTCATAATGTACATTAAAAAGAAACCCAATGACATAAAAATTAGCAACAAAATTTTGACATACATTTTATTCATTAAAAATTGTAAAGTTACATTATAAAAATATAAAATAAATTGAAATATATCAAACAAAAATGAATACTATGGATTGTGTACAAAACTGTATCAATGATAAATGGATGGTCATTTGTCATTTAAAAATGCTAACTTATAAAATAAAATCAAATATATAAAATCACTCTAGTTCAATAAATAACAATAAATACTTACCTTTTGGTACTTAGAGTGAAAGGAACAAACTTTTTTAAGTGATACAGGTTAGGTTTTCATAGCACAAGTTTTTTGTACAAAAGGAATAACTACCAATATTTTAACCAGTACAGGCATTATAAAACATAATACTGCTAGGTACTCTGTTTAAAAAGAAATTATAAAGATGGGCAGTCAATCCATTTAAAAAGGTAGGCTACTTGTCACTTGAAATAGTTCTCAGAAGACAAGTTACATTTCAGTTTAAAAACAGATTAAATTGTAGTGTCATTGGTATACAATTTTTAAACTATTACTGAATACAATTTTAAAATGTATTTTTTGTGACAAGGGGGAGGGAAAAAAGCCTGATGTCATTTATGGATGACCCCTGTTTAGTATAGATGAGCACAACATGACAGTTCTGTGTAGCACCAGTTTTGGAAAGTTTTAAAACTTTGTTAAAGACAGACACAACTATGTATATCTACATAGAATAAATAATGAAAGTGATATATTTCCTTATTATATCAGCATAAATAATGGTACAGCTTTATAGGAAAAACTACCTGCCAAAAACATACCAGCCATAGACATGTTAAGCGGGGAAAAAACAGTTGAGTGTTTAACCACAAGTATGTTAGAACATAGTTGCTTAATGGGTAAAAAGTACAAAGTATCCTAATAAAAAATTTATATTTTCTTCAAGCCTTTTTAAAATTGAAAAATGAAATGGTTAAGATTTGGGTGTGTTGGCTCTTGATGGAGGTTTGGGGATGAGGTTGATAGAAATTTCCTTGGAGGACTTATGACTAGGGGTGGAGCTCCTGGAACAACTCTGTGACTCATCAGAGAAGCTGAAGGACTTACAAGACTGTAACGTTAAACTGCTGGAAGAACGCTGAATGCTCTCCCCTTTTTGTTCTTCCGTAATGCTTGTTCCACCATATTTGGTCAAGTTATTGCGCACAATCTGTAAAGGTTGCCTAGATGGGAGGTAATCACCAGTTTCTTCATTATTTAATCCTTGCTGAGCGTGAATGAGAAAAGAACTGCTTGAAAGGTGAGGGAGCCTCACAGAGGCAGCCGCTTCACTGGTGTCTACTAGCATGGGAGATAACTCCCCGTCCCTGGAATGCTCATCAAAAGAATCGACCCATGGTTTAGAAATTTTTGGAAAAATTTCAAAATGGTTTTTATCATGACTAGCAGATCTTGATTTCTTTAAAATTTTGTTTTGCTGTTCGGTGGAGGAGAGAATAGGGCTGGAGGCAAAGTCAATAGAACTATGCAAACTGTCATTCTCAAAAAGACCTGGACTGTAGGATTGGTCGATTCCGGAGGCGTTGTTCGCGGACATGTTTTTGTTGCCCGGGGGGCTGGCGACGTCTTTGTATGTTGAATCTTCTAGAGTGTTGAATATGCTGCTGGCGTCTTCGCTGGTGGGGAGATCTGTCAGTTCAGCATCCTCCTCCCCGATCTTGGCATCTTTTATAGCCTTCCATGTCTCAGCCCTGATGGATTCCTCAATACCAGTTTCTGAAGTTATAAACAAAATAGGAAAACAATTTGAGAAAGTTAAATAACATAAACTGTTATTTTTAAAATTCAAATCTTAACATTTTCATGCAGTTTGTTTTTTGATGTTATTAGTTTTTTTTTGTTGAGTACATTTCAAATACTAATTTTCTTTTTATACAAACATAGGTAATGTAAGAAAGTGTTAAACATCACTTTAAATAAAGTGATAGCTTAATATTATCATATTACAACATTTATTTTGAAACTTGCTTGTAAAATAAATTTGTTAACTCTCTAGCAATTTTAATTAGTTAACTAATTTTCCTGCATTAAAAAAGTTGTTTAATTATATTATCAATCGGTCTTATTACTTTTTACTTACACTGCCTAAGATAATGTAGATTAAAAAAAAATAACCACATTATGATGAAATATTTTAAAAAGCACTGGCAGAATTTAATACACCTGGACACAACTGTTCTCGTGGTCACATTCAGCATGACCATGAGAAAAGAGTTAGGGGTGTTTTGTGTTACGCAAATAGCAAAGTTGAGTCTCATGAAATGAGAACTGCGCATTATTGTTTAAATACATTTCCTTTATTCTTTATAAGTTTTGCAAAATAACATAGAGAATGAATCAACAAAAAAGAATTTCCGATTTAAAAACCTAATTCGGTTTGGTGAAAAATATTGGCAAACAATTTTCTTCAATAAGAAAATAGCTAATTTGTGTAAAAAAAAAAGAAAAGTTGCATCTAACTGCAAAACTGAAATAAACAAAAAGACGTCACGATTACCTTCTAGAAGTTTTTCATCATCTTCTCTCAGTGCTAGCAGGGTTGAACTAAGAGGGAAATGAGCCTCTGACAGGAGCTGCTGCAACTGTTCCTCTGATAGTCTGGGTGGATTTTCCATAACTAATTGCCGAGATGACAGCTGGGCCCTATTTAAAAAAAAAATTAAAGTTCCTTTTTGAACCTGATGGGCCATGGAGCAAATTAAGTAGAGTTCACATATTTCTGTAACCTCAGCATATGAAGGGATAGTGTGGTCAGTACTATGTCCAATTGCTTTTACTTTCCCAAATGTGAGTTAGGTACCCATTAGAGCTGGGTGGACCCAAATCCAACTCAAGACTTTCTTAGCAGTCTACTGCTTGGCCATGCCTTTCCACTTAAAAAAAACGATAACTTGTTATAAATTATTGTATTACTTCAGTACTAGCTAGGGCCATTTTATTTTATGTACCGTCATACGCTGAGACTATTTTATTGCAAGCACTTTACGTATCATGAATTCAAAAACATTTTGAGATCCTTACAACCCGGGGCCTCAGCTGTAGTTGTTACCCCCCTCCTTTTAAAACACAGAGCACCTTCAGCTTAATAAAGTCTAAAAGATTTTAAACTAAACATTTAACATCCCAACCTTTAGTAATATCATGGGGTGGGGGCCGTGGACTGAACAGGGTGTCACTAGTGCACCACTCCCAGCCTCAGAATTTAAATCAGCCAACACAAAAAGAAAAAAAAAATGACCTGGGAGTTACGTCTGGAGATTCCAGAAAAGAAGTTCTAGACATGTTCCTGCAACACTCGTCCAGAAGCCTGTCCAGCTGCTCGTCTGTCAGGTGGCGCTCTTCGTCATCCTAAGCATAGCATTTTACAACCTTTAACCTCCAAATTAGATGCCTAGTCATATTAAACTATAACCATAAATAATCAGAACAACAATGTGCTAATGTGTGAATATTTTAAGTCAGGTCTGTTAGCTGTGGCTCTTCGTCATCCTAAGCACAGCATTTTACAACCTTTAACCTCCAAACTAGATGCCTAGTCATATTAAACTATAAACATAAATAATCAGAACAACAATGTGCTAATGTGTGAATATTTTAAGTCAGGTCTGTTAGCTGTGGCTCTTCGTCATCCTAAGCACAGCATTTTACAACCTTTAACCTCTAAACTAGATGCCTAGTCATATTAAACTATAACCATAAATACTCAGAACAACAATGTGCTAATGTGTGAATATTTTAAGTCAGGTCTGTTAGCTGTGGCTCTTCGTCATCCTAAGCACAGCATTTTACAACCTTTAACCTCCAAACTAGATGCCTAGTCATATTAAACTATAAACATAAATAATCAGAACAACAATGTGCTAATGTGTGAATATTTTAAGTCAGGTCTGTTAGCTGTGGCTCTTCGTCATCCTAAGCACAGCATTTTACAACCTTTAACCTCTAAACTAGATGCCTAGTCATATTAAACTATAACCATAAATACTCAGAACAACACTGTGCTAATGTGTGAATATTTTAAGTCAGGTCAGTTAGGTGTCGCTCTTCGTCATCCTAAGCAGAACATTTTACAACCTTTAACCTCTAAACTAAATGACTCGTCATATTAAACTATAACCATAAATAATCAGAACAACAATATGCTAATGTGTGAATATTTTAAGTAAAGTTTTAAAAATTTCCCTAAAAAAACTTTAAAAAAAACCCACAAAAGCAGTGAAAAATGTGATTAAGCTAAAATTACGCTAAAGACAGACCACATCTAATACCTCAGTGTCTTGAGGACCTTTATATTTTTCTAGTTCTTTCTCTATTGATTGCAACCTGGCATTGAGCTCCCGCTCCTCTTTGGTCTCAAATAAAATTCGCTCACCAAAATGTTCGGGTATCTGGCCAGCAGAATTCAAGCCCACACGGGTGAACAAAGCCTGATGTTCAGTGATGCAAGTGAGCAAAAATGTGTAAATGAAAAACAAGTGCATGGTGAACAAATATGTGAATAAAAAATGAGAAACATCAATTAGAAAACATTTAATCAGTAGTTTAGCAGTAAACAAATCATATACATTTAAATGGAAAAAGAAAACAACTTTACATCAAATTTGATAAATATAAATGTTAGTTTTTCTTAAATCAAAACTCTTATAAATCAATGTATATTTACTTTGGTACCAGTTCAACAAATTTCCTTTAAAACAATTTAAATAGCTGAGTATGCACATTTTTCTTGTTTTTTTTTTTGTAAAGAAAGGTTATCTCATTTCAAAATAAAAAAAAATAAAAGCAAATCAGAATTTCAAAGTGCATTTTCATTATAATACAAAAAAAAAATGACAAGCTAAATATGAAAAGGAAAATGAAGAAAAATAAAAATGACACCTCCCCCCTAAAATGTACACATGTAAAACAATCATAAAAACTTTTTTTCTTGCATTATGAAAAAATGAAAATATGTGCAGTGTGATCTATAAAATATTCACAAATTTTCGTCACTTGAACAAAAGCTATAAACAAAAATTACCATAACTTCATCTTAAAATTGAATTTCCAAATAAAACAACTACTAAGTGAATATTTTGATGCAGTTTGGAAATGCACATGGATCTTTAAAATAAATCAATGAAGCTTTTTTTCCATTACATGTTAAAAAAACTAATAATTAGTGGGGGTGAATAAGTATATATACTTTTTGTTGTCATTTTCATTTAAATATCCTGCATCAGGGCTTAATATTTAGTATAACTTTTAGTGTGGCTTTTTAAGATTAAATTTTAAAGGTGTATGTTTTATACCAATATCCAACAATGTCACAATAATGGATTCTTCTTAAAAAGGGGTGTTAGGTTACTGATAGTAAACTATGAACAAACATTACATGGTAATGTAAATTCTAACCTTGAACCTTTTATACCAATGTCCAACAATGTCACAATAATGAAACCTTTTTAAAAAGGGGTGTTAGGTCACTGATAGTAAACTATGAACAAACAATACATGCTAATGTGAATTCTAACCTTGTCCCGAAACATAAACAAAGTCCTGCACAATTTTAGCACAAGTAATTTAGAAAATAGTGACCTCAGTCAGAAATAATTAAAAACTTGAACCCATTAACCACTCAACATATGTTAAAGTGAGTCCACATACAGATTCTACTTTTTACATACTTGTGGTGGGCTGGAGTCCGAGGTTTTGCTAGAGTTCATGATTGCTTTGTAATCCTCTTCGGGAATGATTTCTCTCAACCGCTCATGGATACTGGACAGGCATGTCTTCTCCATGGCATCGGGACAAAATCCTTCCCCGGGATGAACAGACAGCTGGAACTGGTTCACATCTAACTGAAAACAAAATCCCATACAAAAATGTACATGAGTGTTGTAAAATATTTTCTAGTTTACGGAATTTAGATTATGGAATGGTGTGGCTGAGCATTTAAGTATGTGATTTCTCTTTTGGATCAGACTTTTAAGCCATTTCTGGGGGTTAATCCAGTGTAAATTTAGATCTGACTTAGGTCAGCGAAAGTAAACACAATTCCTTCTTCTTCTTTGTTCTTAATTCTAGTGATGGAAGTGATTCCCCTACAACACAATTACGTATATGTGTCAACTTGTTATGCATTATATAGGCATTTGACTCCAATTTCAGCCTGCTTTTGCTTTTTTTTGGATTTGCTTCCATAGCCTTTGTCCAACCAAGAACAAACTACAATGCAGCAGTTGTTTGATTTTGGAGTTGTCTCTCCTAGATGAGTGTCCGGGATTCAAACTCAGGACTTTTCGGCTCAGCAACCATGAGCCTAACCGACCCGACCACGCCAACCTTCAAATGCAGTGACCTCAAAAAAAATGATAAACAATTTCAGCTATCTACTCATCATCATTTGTCAAAGGATACTTAAAAAAAAAAGTAATGAGAAGTTATCTATTGAAATCCTAAATGAGATGGTTAAACCAAAATTGATTAAAAGGGCACCACACATATTCCTCATACAAACACTGATAAGTTACTTTATCTGTTAAAGCTGATCTATAATTATGAATTGAAATATATAGGCCTACAACTAAAAGGCTGCAGGGAAAGCGCAAAAAGCTTAACCAAGAAACAAGTTAATAAAAAGTCTAGTGACAATTTAAGCGCAATTTCCTTATGTTATCTAAAAATAGATAGTGATCAAGTTTGTTTTTAAAAAATGTGAAAAAATGATTAGGCCTAGCGAAACAAAACCTTGTAATTGTAACTCCCTATCACTCTCAAATAAATTATAAATAAATTAATAGGGTACAAAAATAACGTTTGAATTAATAAGTAAACAAGTTAATTTTGCGCTAAAAAAAGACAACTATATTAACCTATATCAACGGAAATAGTTTTATTTTAACGAGTAGGCCTACACAATGCTCAGTTTAAAAAAGTAGTATCACCCTAGGCCTACATGATGCTCAGTTTAAAAAAGTAGTAAATATTTTTTTGTGACCGAACGAAAGGATATTTTTGAAAACTTTCTTGGGCAATATTGTTCTAAATTATGGCAGGAATCGATTGGTAAATGTTTCAAGTTGCTAAGTGGTCTGGTTGCCGAGATATGGGCAAAAAACTGCATATTTTTGAGGTTTTTTGGCTTTTCCGGGAAATCCAGGAAGGAATTCCGGGAATTTTTTGGCCCACAATCATCCTCGGAACTTGCTTAACATATTTGCTTTTGGAACTAGTCCTCGATATTGCTTCGTTGAGGAGGAGATACGACTTAAAGCTGCGGACACACATCCATCCATTCATACATCCATCCAGAAATGACGAGTTAATAATCGCAATTGTCCATATGGAAATTGCGCTAAAAATAGATGACACAACTTTGAAGCTGAAACTACAAAGGTGGGCTACACTTGGAGCCAAGTTGAGAAGATGGCACAGGAAAGAGATCTCTGTTTGACGACCCATACCCCAGCAGGGGTGACAAGCAGTGATGATGACAACTAAAAGGTTCTTAAAAAAGACAGTGGTACAAACATACTTCAGCACTGCCAGCAGCATTCTCTAACTCAGGCATTTCATCCACCCCAAGCAGCAGCTCTTCCAGTCTTTTCTTCTCATCATCAGTCAATGCTATCACATGACCTGCATTGGCGGCCAACTGTAAATCAGAATTAAATTAAAATAAAGAAAACGAGGAAAAAAATAAAATAAATTTAACATAACAGTGTAGGCCTACTAAAGTAAATGTACTCTATTTACATGATATATTGGGTTAACCACACCCCAGTTAGTCGATTGATAATTACAACCTTAACACATTAAAGGATAGTAAAAGAATTTTATGAAAATTTTAAAACAACTTTTTAAAATCTTTTACTCAAGGATAAAAATATTACTGACCTCTTTATTTCTTTTGATGAAATCTTTTGTTTTGGATCCTCTCTGTCCTAGCCTTGAGTTATGCATCCTTGAACTTGAACTTTTTCCCATGTCAGAGTTGACAGATGTTGATCTAGACTCATCTCCTGTTGAAAAGTTTAAAAAAGATTGATTTTGTTCTGTAACCATTATTGCAGCAAGCAAAGTGATGTGTCACCTTTCTGGTGGCAAGAACCAAACTACCAAAGTAAATTAAAAATTACCACCCATTATTCTTTTCTGAGGTTTTGACAAAAATTATCTTCTTTTTTCACAGTAAAATAAAATGTGTCAAAGATCATGCTACACAACAGCTACAGTTTACAGTTAAACACTACAAATCATTGTAATTAATTTGGATTTCATAGTTCCATAATAATATATTATAAATCTGACACTTCTTCATCTTGGTTCTTAATTGTAATATTGAGGGGGATAACCTCCAACACAATTAAGTGTAACTTGTCAACCTATTATACACCAATGGCATGTTGACTTTGACTTCAGCCTGTTTTTCTTTCTGGATTTGCTTCCATATTCTTCATCCAACCAAGAATAATCTGTAGAGCAGTTGTTTGATTTTGGAGTTTTCTCTAGTAGTCCATAGGTTACGAGTCTCATCTGCTTGAGGGTCCACAACTCATTAAATTTAAGAGTTAGCATTTCGACACTTGAAGCATCAATAAGCTCACATGTACATCATTTTAGGTCTAATACACTTTCTAATTTTTCTCCTCAAAAAAAAAAAACCTAAAAAATTAATTAGGGAATCAATAATTTACCGGCACTTTCACCTAATGTGGCCTTTGATGTTGTTTGCTTTTTCTCTTTGCTTTTAGCAACATGGCTGTCATCAATCTGAGTTTGAAATACAGGTGGGATGTCACTGTCCTCCTCATCAACAATAATACCTGGAAATAAATAGTCAGTAAATTGAAAAATTGGGACGGAGTAGTCTAGCTGTAGAGAGCTGGACTGCTAACCCGTAAGTCTCGAGTTCGAATCCGGGTTCAAGTCAGAAGACTGTCCCTGAGTCCACCCAACTCTGATGGGTACCTACCTCACATTAGGGAAAGTAAAGGCGGCTGGGCATAGTGCTGACCACACTATCTCTTCATATGCCAAGGTCACAGAAACAGGTGAACTCTACTTCACTTGCCCCATAGACCGTCAGGTTTGAAAAGGGAACTTTTAAGTTGAAAAATTGATGTAGATTTTTGGGCAAAATTTGTTATAATACTTGTAATGTATTCAACAGTCACAAAATTTTATTAATAGACAAATTGAACATTTCTAGAAAGTTTCTATCTCTCTTCTTTAATTTGATGCCTGTTGTATATTCCAGTGTAGTGCATTTTCCCACGTTTTCTTTAACTTGCTTTCTCTGTTTGTTTGTCTTTCCAATCAAATCTTGCGATCGAAATTTCTGGCACTTCCCAGTTAGCTAGCGCGCTGAAATTTTCAGGGAAGCTTTCTTTTGGATGACCATAGAATATTCAATTGTTATTATTACTAAATTGATCAATGGAAACATTTTATTGAGCATTTTAGACCGCTATATAATCTATATATATAATTCTCCTCTGCAAGCCATTAGAAAAAAAACCAGTGATGCGTAGCTAGCCTCTCTCTTGCCGCGCGCAGTGAAGCGAACGATCCCTTAGCGAACGACAGGCTTAGGGGCAGATAATTTAGTTTTAACCGACTTTAAACTTACAGGAGGTAACTATTACCGCTGGTGGCCAGTTTGGGGGAGACGATATGGTCGAGTGGTTGGGCACACGATTGCTATCCCACTCGACACGGGTTCAAATCTATGTGTTCTAGTCAGTAACGTATTCACACAACGTGTTTTTTACGAGTTGTCTTTTAACGAGTTGTCTTTTTACGAGTTGTCTTCGTTTACCCAAAAAAAAGTGAAAAGATAAAATCGATAGCAAGATTTCAATGCAAACAAACAGACAAAGACTAAAAAGTAGAAAATAATAATCATTAAAAAAGTTTTAAAAAACCCACGTTTTCTGATTGAACTAAAAAGTAGAAAATAAATACTATACATCACAATAATGCAAGCGATCACTCTACTATAAGCAATGAAAAACGTGGGGCGCCGTGATTTTCTTACAGTTTCTAATACTGTTGACTCTCTACAAGCTCCCTAATAAAAGTCAATAGTATTATCTAATCAATAGTAATATAACTTTTACTTCGGCGCCCCACGTTTTTCATCGCTTATAGTAGAGTGATCGCTAGCATTATTGTGATGTATAGTATTTATTTTCTACTTTTTAGTTCAATCAGAAAACGTGGGTTTTTTAAAACTTTTTTAATGATTATTATTTCACTTAACACATGTTTAACTCTCAGCAATATGGTACAATTGTAATATATATATATATATATATATATATATATATATATATATATATATATATATATATATATGTATTTTTTTTCGCATTCTTGAATTTGAATTTTTAATGTTTTGAAATTATGATGGTTATGTTGAATACACACAAACTTTCTTGATTACTAAATAATAGGCCTATATGATTACCTTCAGAATGAGAGGGAGGTAATTCAAGTGACAAAAACTTGTCTGTGTTTACTTTAATTTCACCATAGTTGGATCCTTCTTTTTCTAATTCAGCTATCTCTTGACGCATCCTAAAAAATAGGATTTAAATATAATAATGATAGCTTACTTGCGACACAGAAAAAGAATTTTGTACTAGCGTTTAAAAAAAAATAATGCAAAATTCCAGCGACTTAATTAACAAGAAGTTATATCATTTAGTTCTGATTAGCTAATTTAAAATGTAAGTGATAAAAATTAAAAACCTTCTCTCAAACATAATCCTATCTCTTTTAACTTCTTTCTCTCTCTTTATCTTCTTCTTTAAAAGAGCATCAAGCTTATTCATTTTAATGATGGCCTCCTTAAGTCTTGGGTCTCTACTCTCATCAGTTTCCAGAATGTCTTCAGATTCTTTTGTCGCATCCACTTGTTTCAAATACTGGCCTGATTCCATCGCTTTCATCCGGTCTCTAAATTCCTCCAGTTCCGATTTCATTTCAACTCTGACCTAAAAATAATAAATGAAAAATTATTCCCCATAGCAAATTTACTTTCAACAAAAATGGTTTTTGTTGCACTTATTTTTTCCCCTATACACATAAATAGCTATTTTATAAGACAGTTTGAAACAAAATTCAGAAAATATATTTAATTATATGAATTAATTTATTATGTTTACTTGATTATTTACTAAGCTTCATGCTACTTTTTATCACACAAATATACTTGAATTGTATTAAAAATAGAAGAATTTTAAAAAATCAGATTTACTTAAAAATTATTTTTTTTCAAAAGTTTGTGTCTTTTAATATATAATTATTCTATTTACCTTGTTATTGATTTCATCTCTTATTTCTTTAAGCATACTTTTTTCTTCATCACTGTCAATCTCAAAATCTTCTGTCTTAGCCTCAGCTCCTAAAAAATGCATTAAAACTGCATTATATAAAAGTATGTAATTACAAAATTTTAACTTTAGATTTAATGTTCACATAGCACTTAATTGTTTGCCGTGTAAGCCTCATAAGAACCTAGGCCTAGACTCTATACCTGATTCCAAAGCTACACTAACCCCTCCCCCAACAGTGACCCTAACAGAGATATCAGCAAAAAAAAATGTCAAGTAGGAAAATATATTTATCAAACTGCGAAATTCAGACATTTTAGCAGATTTCACCCCCCCCCCCGCAACTTTTAATCTAATCACACAAAATCACAAAAGCCAGAACCTCTCAACCATAAAATGATATTTCTCCTCAAATAATTATACATCTGACAAAAGTTATCAAGATTTTTTATTCTTTTTGAGCTTCAAAATGTATAGCTATATTTTGTTACCCCCCCCCCCCCTCCCCGCACACACACACTACCCCTCTGCATAGCACATTGTCACAAAGGCACAACTTTCCACCCACACAATGATATAAAAATAGATTTGTTAAAAAATAAAATGAACTACAGAGAAAAACAAAAGGTTTATAAAACCTACCTGAAGGGATTAATGAATTGTTTCTGTTCTCTTCTTTCTGTTTTGGGGAGGGATCCAAATTTTTATCACCACTCTCACGTTTGTATATAACAGCGTTAAGGAAGGACAGAGTTTCTTCATTTAGATCTTTAAGTTCCAACTCATTTAGCTCTGTATTATCGACATCGTAACAGTCCTCATCATTGAAATCCTCTCCATCATCATCTTCATCATCATCATCGTCGTCCAGCTCAAAGTCATCCATGTCTCCCGCTTGCTGTTTACTTGTTATCATTGCCTGGAGCTCCTCTGCATTCAAAAGTATGCTCTAAAAAGTAAACAAAAACAGACTTAACTCCAGCAAAAAAATGTTATCCGGTATCAAATATAACTTTTCTTGCCTACTAGTGTATCAATTATTATTTATGTAGATTACATCCATATTTTTATTCTAAATCAGAACAAAAAAGTAAAAACTGCCATGAATTTCACATTTTATACAAAAAAAAAAAGGAGGGTCAGGATGCTCAGGTTAGTGAAGCTCATGATTGCCTAACCGTAAAGTGATAACAACCCTTCTAGGAGTGAAAACTCCAAAATCAAGCAACTGCTGCCTTGTAGTTTGTTCTTAATTGGAAAGGACTATGGAAGCAAATCCAGAAAGAAAAGCAAGCAAAAATTGGAGTCAATATAGCGTCTAGCTAGTTGGCACATTACACTTAACTGTGTTGGAGGATATCCCTTCCAACATAACAATTTAGATCAAAGTGAAAGAAGAAAAAAAAACAAAGAAAAATTTAACAGATACATTTTTTAACAACCCTATACTTAACATACCTTTGTCTTTTTTGATTCTTTAGCCATACTGATGGTCATTCAATGTATGCAATGTAACACAATATTTAGATATTTTGTCTACTTTAGACAAAGAAAATAAGCCTGGGTGAAGTAGAAATGTGTAAGAATTATGAAGAGAGCAACATGTATATTAAAAAAATAAAATATTTGTTTAGTGCTAAAATTGACTTGTTACATTTTTTTAGATTAAATTGTTTCTTGAAAGCATGAAATAAAGACTTAGGTTTTACAGTAAAAAATATGCCATGAGCACGAGTTATGAACAATTTCTATACATAAAACAATACCATGCAGTGGAAACTTATATGACTAGTCTAGCTTATCCCCTATTGGTCTATGTTCAGCAAGGAACGAAAAAGAAAAAAATTGATGATGATGAGTCTAGCTCAGAGATTCTTAACCTTTTTGGAGGTAAGTGAACCCCACCAGTTTCATATGTGCATTTACAGAACACTTCTTAATAGTTCTATCATAATCAAAGACAAAATCCAATTGCGAATCGTATGAGTCAAGTGTGTGTCTTAACCTTGTGACTGAGTTACAGAATTCCTTGGGTTTGATCAAATGAATCACTAGTCTAATTCAGCAACAGAATAGGAAAATGTTTGGGGTGAGGCAGGGATGTCTGCTTTCCTCTACCCCCTTCAATACCTTCTTAGGCAGAATAATGGAACATGCTTTAGAAAATCACAAGGGCATTGTCATGACTGATTTTTTTAACTCAGCTGTCAGTATTCAAGATTCACTAACTTTTAATTCATAAAACAGTTTTAGCAATGTTTAATTGGGATAATTTGATAATAATTGAGATAATGATTGAGATGTTGACTCTCTTCCTTTACAGGGCTTAGGACCAACTTGATATTCACAAAGTTTTGCCCAGACAGAGTTTAAAAGATTTGTAATTTTTGTATCTATTTAATTTGTCTTTTAAAATCTGTCAGCTAACACCTGTGATCGAGAAATATACAAATTCCAAACACTGTCATATACGTGACAGCTTGCTAGCTAGCTCGCATTGCAAATGAGAGAAATATCCCCACCCAAAGTCACTAAAGTGGGAGAATAGTAGTAAGCACTGTAGTTGCATGACCTAGTCCATGTACTTCGTTAGGCTAGGTACTAATTAGTGATTAGTGTAATGTAAGACTAAGGCCTAAAGATAAAAACACATACATCATGTCATATTAAATTATTATTTATTTGGCTTAGGCCCTAATTAAAATTATTTTAAATTATACATAACATAGGCCTAATCATTTTAATTACATAAAGTTCTGACAACTAGAATCTAGATCTACCTGCACACACTAAATCCTGCTGATTGGTTTATTTTCTAAAATGACTTCTCAAAGAGTCTTGAAACTAGTCTTGACCCTACCAAGTTTAGTGAGTGCCGAGTACTGTCAGTTCTACTGGTTGAGTAATCAATAATCAGTCTCAGATTCTGAGAGTGAATTTCAGATGAGAATCAATCACCAATGTGAATAATTAATAATTAATATTCAAGATTGAAGATTCAAATCATTTGAATCAAATGTCAACAAACACTACCTAACCTATCATTGTTCGAAAGCTAGATAGAATGCAGTCTATATTACTTATAATTTTATTCAACAAAAGCAACAACAAAAAATTAATGATTAATATCTATCTAGATCAAGTCCTGTCAGTAACCGAGAGAATCTGACGGTTACATTACAATTATCCTAGCAACATGATGCTTCCGCCATTTTGAAATTCTTCAACATTATATGTATTTCTTTTAATGGAGAGGTATTGTAAAATTTTGGATAGGACAGAGAACGTAAAATCGACGTTAGCCGGGCCTACTAGGCCAGTGGTTATCAAATAAACGCTGACAAGCTTTTTCCTTGCTATTTTCACCCCCTTTCTTTCTCCCATAGTTGCACGCGGTCAGATCCCCTCCATAAAACAAAATCACACTTTAGCCGACAACCTTGACCCCAAAAACCAAAATACAGTTTTTGTATGGGGTCATCCATAAATGACGTCACGCTTTTTTGGACGATTTTTACCTCCCCCTCCCCTCCGTCACAAAACGTCAGACCCCCCCCCCCCCTAAAATGACGTCACACCTCAGCCTACAAACCCCCCCCTCAAAATTGCAGTTGAATTTTTTTTTAAACATCGATATTTTTCCAAAATATTGTCTGAACTCTGTCAAAATAGAGTATTTTTAATCAATTCCTATTACAATTTATTAAAACAGTTGTCTAAAACGCGAAATAACGTCTAAATATCGTTTTCTAACATTGCTTTTTTATAATACAAAAGTGTGACGTCGCACCATCTGACCCCCCCTCCCCCTCATCACACACCGTCACAAAATTACGGACCCCGCCCTCTCTCCTACGAGTGTGACGTCATTTATGGACGACCCCTATTTCATAAAAACAGTAATTTTACTTTCTTAAAGTTGTTAAAATTAATATGAGTTGGTCATTATATGAATATGGTATGAATTATATATATATATATAATTGATTGAACTCCTCCTCATCCTTAAATAAAAAATAATAATCATGCCCACGCCACTGCCTCCTACTATCATCCTAAACTAATATAAATTATTAAAATAAAAACAATGTTAAGAATTTTTTTCTTCCTGATTTCTAAAGATTATCTAAATAGGCTCAAATTTCTTAAAACCCTCTCAGTCCCTTCTTCTGGTTGAACATCGTCAAAAAATCAAGAACCTCTACACTTTAACCGATAACCCTAAGTTAATAATTAGGCTGGACCTATCCACATGCATGCCATTACAGAATAACAAAAGAAAGTTGTTCAACGTTGAGTAGAAATTTTATTGTCCAAAATTTTATATTGAGATACCAACGTGCACTAAATAAAATTGTATATGATAAATCGACAACTTCACTGATGTTTGAGGTTTTTCAGCTGTTATTTCGAAAATCGTGTATTAGTCGGAAAGCATGAGCAGGATAGGTAACTCTAGTCGACTATTGTAAAAAAGTGAAAGTGTGTTGGTTAAATTTTTAGACTGAGATCTAGTCTAGCATTAGCAAGAATCTAGATCTGGATCTAGATCTAGAGGTTATATTTAGTTAGGCCTAGAATCTAGATCTAGTCCTTGGTAAATAATTTTAAAAAAGTCTATCACTAACTTTGGGTCTATTTTTATTTGTTTAATTTAAGTTTAACAGTCCGAAATATTCCGTTCAAATAAGGCAGAGAGTTCAATCCAAAAGCCAAAAGAAAAGTGAGATAGTGACACAGAGGCTACTCTACTCAGTACTACCTACTAGATTTAGATCTAGACTAGACTAGAGTTAACTAGAGAATCTAGTTACTCTAGTAGTGTGAAAAAAAGGGTGTCTCATCAATCTTTGGTTGTTATTTTTAAAATCACACTACTCTAAAATACTATAAATTATAAATTAGTATACATTTGTGCCGTTATTCATCAAATCAAAGGGTTAGATCTAGGCCTACATTTATACATTTCTTTAAAAAAAATTGTGCTTTGGTTACTCATGAGATCTTTTACTCAACTGACTTTTACTCTTTTACATATTTATTTTGGCCACCAAAGCTTTTATGAAAGAAAGCAAATTACTTTAGTTTTATTTTCTTATTTTCAGTGCATTTAAAAAAAGCTTGCTATTGTTATATTTCAATTTGTTTGATTTTCTACTTTTTCAGTAATTCATAATCTATATCTACCAATGCTGCAACTAAAAATATTAGCTTTAAAAAACTATCAGTAGCTTGTGAAAGATGGGATGGTTAAGTTATCCTCTTCTCACCCTTACCCTGCGAAAGCAGCCCTCTGTGACGACAGTTTACAGACATCAGCTACTAGATCAAGTAGATCTTGTTACTCCCCTTAGTTTCAAATCATTTAAAAACTATATTATCTGCCCTTAGCCTTCGCTAGATCTACCGGCTCTACGATTGTAAACATTCTCGTGAATCACAGCTCAACTGATCACGTCTGGCTATTTATCTACCCTTCTGTTATTGACTATAGTAATCAATAGTTAGCTCATTCTGACTAGCTACAAAGCCTATCAGATTAAAAATAATTTTTGTGTAACAGTTTCTAAAGATAATTTCTGTAAAATAATAAACATTAAAATATTAAAAGCCATGCAATTTATTTTTAAAAGGTTGTTGCTTTTTATAATTTACTTTAATTTAATCGCTAAAAATTTAAATCAATATAACACTTGACAAATTCATATAAAATAACTGGCTGTCCCGGCCAGGCCCTGAACTGGCCTCTGTGAAAAACCTGGGTTTAGGAAACATTACTTTTTAATTAAATGTCTATATGCAAATATGGATGTTTTAGAAAATTACACATAACTCTAAACCTAACTCTGACTCTAAACTTAACCCTAACCACAACCAAACATAAACTCGAACTTAAACTCAACCTCAAACACAATCTCAAAAGCAAACACCAACACATAAAAAAACTAAAACATAAACCCTCACCACCACCTAACACATAAACATAACCAACCCTCACCACAACCTCAACCACTCTTAAATTATGAAATGAGGTCTTAAGTAGTGATAAAATAAATAATAATTAGTAAAGAATGCAGCTGAATTTAGCCAGGTTTACAATTAATGGTAAAAATGAACCCAAACCGTTCAGGCATTTGTTTTTTCATAAAAGACAAAGCCTCAGACATAGTTTGATTTTTTTAATCTATCATGTTTCGTATTTGGTGGTTTTACACTATATTAAAATATGTGTGATTAGTGAAAACCATTCATATACGGTATTGCAGAAATTTGATAAGCAACTTATTTCATCCTTGTTGATTAAAGAAGAATTGAATACTTAGTTATTAGTAAATATTTGTATTGTATTTAAACTTGTAATTGGTGTATACAGGCTTATCATATTTTGCACCTGGGCCTTCAGTAAAGATTTTGTGCTAGATCACTTACACATGTGTAGTGCTAAATCACTGTTGGGAAATTTTACTTCTACTTTTATAACAATTAACATTTATTTCCTCCTCTTTAAAGCGAACCAACTTGATGAGATATGGATCCCTCATACAAACCTGGTTTGGTTTCTGCCACACTATTTTCAAAAAATAAAATTTCTGAGACTCGTAACAAGACTTTGGATAATCTCTTCGCAGCAAAAAAATCTAACAAGATACTTGCTGGGACTTCACCTACTACTTCTGTAGCTTTTGTAAGTAGTATTTAGACACTTGTTAAAAATCTACATAGATTTAAAATAATGAAATTATGATAAAATGTTTTGTGTGTGTGATCACGTTAAATGTGTAAAGTTAAAAAAAAAAATAGATATTTTTATTATTAATTTTTAAATATTTTAATAATCTTTTGGTTATAATAATTAACAGTTTATATTTATAGTAATTTATTTGGAATATAATTGTTTTTTGAATCAGACTGCAACTTCTTCAAAAGCCGACAAAGCAGATTTGAATAAAGAAAATGGAACTAAACCAGTAAAAAAGAAAAAGTTAAAAAAGAAGAAGAAAGCAAATGCAGCTTTGGGTATTCCCATGAACTCAACTACAGTGCCATTTGTCAGCACACATCAGGCTTCTATCCTGCAAAGGTAATCATTCTTTTTGATGTTGTCATTGATGATATAGTAGTAAACTTTCTGTTTGATGTTGTCATAGATGATATAGTAGTGAACTTTCTGTTTGATGTTGTCATTGATGATATAGTAGTGAACTTTCTGTTTGATGTTGTCATAGATGATATAGTAGTAAACTTTCTGTTTGATGTTGTCATAGATGATATAGTAGTAAACTTTCTGTTTGATGTTGTCATTGATGATAAAGTAGTGAACTTTGTTTGATTTTGTCATTGATGATAAAGTAGTGAACTTTCTATTTGATGTTGTCATTGATGATATATTAGTAAACTTTGTTTGATTTTGTCATTTATGATAAAGTAGTGAACTTTCTATTTGATGTTGTCATTGATGATATAGTAGTAAACTGTTTGATTTTGTCATTGATGATAAAGTAGTGAACTTTCTATTTGATTTTGTCATTGATGATATAGTAGTAAACTTTGTTTGATTTTGTCATTGATGATATAGTAGTAAACTTTGTTTGATTTTGTCATCGATGATATAGTAGTAAACTTTGTTTGATTTTGTCATTGATGATATAGTAGTAAACTTTGTTTGATTTTGTCATTGATGATAAAGTAGTAACTTTGTTTGATTTTGTCATTGATGATATAGTAAACTTTGTTTGATTTTGTCATTGATGATATAGTAGTAAACTTTGTTTGATTTTGTCATTGATGATACTGTATATATGTTTTGTTTGATATTGTCATTGATGTACAGTAGTAAAATTTCTGTTTAATGATACCATTGATGATATAGTAGTAAATGTTCTGTTTGAAATTGTCATTGATGATATAGTAGTAAGCTTTCTGTTTAATTTTTTCATTGATGATAATTTAATAAACTTTGATGTTGTCATTGATGATACAGTAGTAATTTAAAGTTATACTACATGTTGTCATAGGTAGTACTTCTGGTAATAAATGGGTTCATTTTCTATTTTATAATATAGTTCGAGAGTAAACCTTGTAAATAAAGTGAGAAAAAAACCTCATTTTGATGTACATTAGACCATTATTGATAATACTTGTGTATATTTCACATTTCAGTTTTTTAGTTTATGATGTACACCGTCTGATTTTGTTAACCTAGGTTTATTCTCGTAGAGGTTGCTGGTGTCTGACTTGCTCGTTGATGGACAAAGGTCCAAATAGTATGACCTTTAAAAAAAAATGGTGTGTTTTATCCCAGAGATTTTGAATTTAAAATATTTGACACATTTATTTCAGGGATTCTGACATTAAAATATTTGACACATTTATTTCAGGGATTCTAATGCAGGGAACAGAGTGGGAGTAAAGCGCAAGCTTCAAAATGATAAAACAGATGACGATGAATTCGAAGGCAAACGTCCAAGGAGAGACAGAAAAAGAGACAAAATGGCTGACAGTCGGACAATATTTGTTGGAAATTGTCCTCTCTCAGCTGATAAAAAGGTACACTTGGTGTTGTTCAACTAATTTACATTCATAAGGTTGAAAATAGTTAATTATTTTATACTGCTGGCTTTTTGTACTTAGATTTAATGCAGGTGTTAATATTTGATTTTGTGGCTATCACTTACACAATGATTAATCTAATTACCAATGTGTTTGGGAAGGCCAAAATAATTTTTTTCTAAATTTAAATTTTTCTTTTTTTTTCCTTTTGTCAGGTCCTGAAGAAATTATTTAAAGAATATGGAGATATAGAAACAATTAGATTTCGATGTGCAGTAAGTGAATTATATTATGTTTAAAGTAATAATCAAAGCAAGTAAATGTTTGCTGTTGTAGTTTTAATTAAAATTGATTATATCTTTTATTTTTTATTAAGATTGCTAGTAGCATTTCAATATTATGCATAGTTTTTTTTCATATTATTTGTACTAATAAATATTACCTATTTTTCAAAAAAAAAAATAAATTGATCTAACCTAATAAAAATTATTTTAGCCTGCAGCAGAACCAGATCTACCCAGAAGAGCTATCGTCATCACGTAAGAGATATATTTGGTTTATGGATAAGCTTTACGTCAATTCTTTCTTTCGGTGTTTGTATTAAAGTTTTTTGTGTGTTTTAGTTGTTTGAATTTTTACTTTTGTAATAACTTTATACTGGTATCTCAGAGGAGGACAAAGTTTTCATCTTAAATTTATTGCAGGAAAAATTTCCATGAAAAGTGCAACAATTATGTAGCATATGTTGTTTTCAAAGAAGAAGATTCTGCTAAAAAAGCATTGGAAAGGTTGTAAGAGTTTATAAATTATATTTTTACTTTAGAGTTAAAAAAAATATTTTCTTAAAAAATGTATGTTAAAATTATTTTCTTAAAATTGTTAATTAAACTTAGAACTTTTTAAAAATGTGTTTAATAATGTGTTCACAGGAATGGTTATGTACTGGATGGTTTGCACTTACGAGTTGATATAGCTGCCATGTTTAAGAAGGTTTGTTTCAGTTCATTTGTCCTGTATAGAACAGTTCCTAGTTAATTTAATTTTTTTTTAAACCTCTTTGTAAAAAAGGGATTTTTTTTAAATCTTGTAAATTATGTTTTCAGCATGATAAAAAAAGATCAATATTTGTCGGAAATTTGCCATTTAGTGAGTATTCATTCTTAAGCTTTTAGCTGCAATTTTAGATTAGTGAAGTTAGTTAATGAAAGAGTTCGCCTGAATCATAAGATGAATTCATGATAAGGAAATTATAATTTTTGTCTGTTTGAAATGATTTTCATGTTATTTTTCCACTTGTGAAGCCATTACTGAAGAAGAATTAAGAGACCATTTTGAGGACTGTGGGGAAATCATCAACGTGAGAGTTGTACGAGACAGACAAACTAATTTGGGGAAAGGCATCTGCTATGTACAGTTTGAGGTAATAATATATTTGTATATGTATGTGTATGTATAATATTTTGTTAGACTTGTTAGCTTCAATTGGGATGAACCTAACAAGAGCAACAGAGATCTCTATTGTTTCATCAGATGAAGGATATTTAAAGTCCTGAAATTTTAACACCAATAGGAAAAAACACAATCAGACTAACTGCTGCTGAAAAAAATACCTGAAACTTTTAAATAACCTGTACTAATTAAACAATTATTTTTCCTTTAGCTGTATACGATTATTAAAAAAAAAATGCATTTTAAATTGAAACATTTCGCTAAATAATTTTCTAAATTTCCTGAAGTTCTTAATAATAATTAAAAATTTGGCTGTGTTGAATTTAGGTTTTTCAGTTTCCTTATTTTTTAGGGTATTTTCTTGTGCTAGAATTTTTTTTCTCATCAATAATCTAAAAATATTTTCTGAGCATGGTGCCAATAAATATTGTTCTATCTAGTCTAAAGATTCTGTGAGCTTGGCGCTGAAGCTGAACAAATCAGAACTCCAGGGCAGACCAATCAGGGTGATGGTGTGCACAAACAAGGAAAAGAAAAAAAAGCCAAAGAAAGTCTTGAAAGATGAGGGACAGGAGGTATAGGCTTAGAAATTTTTTTTATTGTATTTATTAAGCATTTGTTGTATTATACCCTAAAGATTAGTAGGTGAAGTAGATTTAATCTATTTCCATGTCTGTGTTAATAGAATTTGTTTTACTGCTTAGCTAAAATTCATTATTTAATTAATTAAATGCTCAACTTTTAAAAAAAATATTTTTAAAGTAAAGTTTCTTACCTTCTTTTTTTAAATACAAGTACTAAAATATTTATTTTTTTTCAAGTGAAAAATGTTTAATAAAAACATTTAAAAAATCACTTAAATTTTTTTTCTATTTGTAAAACTAGGTGAAGAAACAGAAGTCAGATGACAAGCCAAAGAGGATTGCTTTTGCGCCTAGCAATATTTCTAAAGTCACATTTAAGGCTAAAATGCAGGCCAAAAAAGACAAGAGATTCAGAAAAATCAAGAAAAAAAAGGAGAATTCCAAGAAATCTGATGGTCTGACATCAATATTTGGACCAGTTGCCCCCATCCCTACCAAAAGTAAAATTAACAAGGCAAAAAGTGAAACAGGAAGTGGAAAAAAATCTAAAAAGACCACAGGCGGACACAAAAAACTGCACCAGAAAGGGAGCTCATTCAAGGGAAAAGGAAAAGGGGGGGAAGACTAAACGTTATTTCAAATAAATCTTACTTTTTTGTTGAATTTTGTGTGTTTGTTATGCTAAGATATAGATATGAACTTGGTTTGTTCATCAAATATTACTATTGTTATGCATTTTTTTGTGTCTGTTGTGAATAGAAATCTTTTGTCACTCACGCATTACTTTTGTCTTGCGTGTTTGTTGTGATAAATCTTTTATCAATCAAACACAGTTACCACCAGAAGTGAATGGTAGTAGTAGCTTAACTTATCGGTCTAAACATTTGAATTCATTGAGAAAAAAACTATTAATAAACTTTGTTTAATTCATATGTATAAAGTACACAAATGTTTAGATGTAGGCCTATGTATGCATACAAATTAATACATGTACACTCTCACATACATATAGCCTACATATACACATATATAGATATATATAGATATATACAAACAGAACTTGTGTTATTGTTATGAGAGGTAATTTTGAGTTATTTTGCCCCAAAAATAACACTTTTATTTTTTAGAAAATATTTTCTCAAAACCATAACTTAAAAAAAATCACTTTTTAGTTGTTTTTTTTTTGCAATTTTTTTGTATTATATTCTATGTTAGTTACAACTTCATCACTCAAAAAAGTCCTAACATAATATTCAATTTGGGGGTTTAACCTGGGGGGGGGGTGTCATCCATAAATGACGTCACGAAATAAAGGCTAAAACTGGTTTTCTAACAATGCAAAAAAGCGACTTCACACCATTTAAGCTCCCTCCCCCTCATCATACTCCGTCACAAAATTACGGACCCCCTCCCCCCACCCCCCTACGAGTGTTACGTCATTTATGGACGACCCCCCTGCCTTTAAGTCCCTCTCCCCAGACAAGCAGATGTCCTTGTCCCCTGCAAGTCAAGTTTTGTGCCAGTTAGTCCGCGACTGTTTATTGATTATTCACAGTTGTCCAGTTGTTGGACGACCCCATTATCCCGCTAGCTATGGACGCGCTAGGATGGAGATGGCACCGCTCCGTCCAGAGGCGTAGCCAGAGAAGGGAGAATGTAACACTATCTCCGATGAAAGTCTGCTTGCCTCTGGCTCCCTTCCTAGAAAAACATGTGCGTACTGAGATTAGAGTTCACAAACTACTGAAGTCCTTACAAGAGAGATGATGATATCATAGCCGTTCCCTTGGCCACACCAGATTAAGGAATACACAGATTATCACACACACGATGAGAGCTCACTATGAATCCTAGAGGTAGTGAACCTACAAAAAATGTCATCTCCCTTAAAGCTACTGCAGCACTTTAGTTTCTGCTCACGGTCTCAGCATGCAACCTACTCTTAACACGAGTCATGACATTTAAGATCTTACTCGTACCGCATAGAAAGCACATTTATTACCCCCCCCCCCGAAGAAAGTCCACCGCCCCCCCCGCCCGAAAATTTCAAGTGCCCCCCACCCCCGGAGAAAAAAGTCTGGAAGAAACACTGCCCCTAATCCACTTAAAAATATGTCACACTTCAGCCGAAAATACGCCCAAAATTTTCATTTTTGTAAAAGGGATGTAACCAAGTTTGTAACAGAAGGCCAAATTTATTAATTGAGTTGCTTCCCTTGATTTTTACGTCTTGATTATTTTTGTATCTGATCTCCTGCCCTCTTAGTAAAATGAATAAAATTTTTTTAAAGGGGATATAACAAAGATAAAATGAAAATGCTAACATATTACTTGAGTACCTTCCCTTTGTATGGAAATTGAATGGTCACTATTATTAAGTTTTGAAAATTTTAACACATTTCGGATGAACGTTAGATTTGAATGTAAACAAAACCCCATGAAAATACGAAAAATTCAGTTTTAAAAAACACTCTTTTAAAATAGAACAGTGTGATTTCTCACTTTCTTATTAACCCTTTCTCTTTTCATGCATCAAATAATAAATCAAAATTTATGCCAGGGGAAATAGCCAAAGAATACTTAATTTGCCGATTACTTTACATGAGTAGTCTCGCTTTGAATATAAACTTTTTTTAACGAACATTAAATTAAAATGCAAATAAATAAATAACCCCGAAGTACGAAAAAAAAACAACCTTTAAACAATAAGCAACAAGACATTTTCAGACTTTCTTCATCACCAATCACCTATATATATATATCAGTGGCGTAGCGAGGTCGGGTGTCACCCGGTGCGGCACTTAATGGTGTCACCCCCCCAGAGGCGTAGCGACCCTTCCCGGGGACAAATTTTCGATTTGCACCCCCCTCAAGTTTTTGATTTGCACCCCCCCCTCAAACTTTCGATTTGCACCCCCCTCAAGTTTTCGATTTGCACCCCCCTCGAACTTTCGATTTGCACCCCCCCTCAAGTTTTTGATTTGCACCCCCCCCTCAAACTTTCGATTTGCACCCCCCCTCAAGTTTTCGATTTGCACCCCCCCTCGAACTTTCGATTTGCACCCACCCTCAAGTTTTTGATTTGCACCCACCCTCAAGTTTTCGATTTGCACCCCCCCTCGAACTTTCGATTTGCACCCCCCCTCAAGTTTTTGATTTGCACCCCCCCCCTCAAACTTTCGATTTGCACCCCCCCCCCCCCTCAAGTTTTCGATTTGCACCCCCCCTCGAACTTTCGATTTGCACCCACCCTCAAGTTTTTGATTTGCACCCACCCTCAAGTTTTCGATTTGCACCCCCCCCCCTCGAACTTTCGATTTGCACCCCCCCTCAAGTTTTTCTCTATGTATTTTGCTATTTTTTGCCTTGGTGTCACCCCCCTAAATGGTGTCAGCCGGTGCGGTCCGCACCCCCCGCCCCCCCCTCGCTACGCCCCTGATATATATATATATATATATATATATATATATATATATATATATATATATATATATATATATACACACACATACATATACATATTATCTCAATATCCAATGAAGAGCATGTTCTATTTTAAGAAACAATCCTGTATGTTATTTTTGCAAGGGTGTGGTTGTCACGCCCGCCAATATTTAAAATTCCGGAATTTATTGCTTGTAATTACACGCGGGCATGCACTTTAACACATGCATATACACGCAACAAGCATTCCATTATTAGGTTTGTTTACTGTGGCCCGTAACCAATCAATTTTACTTTAGCAACTGTGGAGCAGAAGGCATGATGGGACATTTTTGTGACATCATTTGTTGACAATGCTGGGGTTGAAAATAAATAAATAAAATGCCCGATTAGACCTGGGGCATTTATTTTTCATTTTGTGGGTTCGAAATCGAAACTTAATTTAAACTAAACCGGGAGTGATTTCCCTAAATTTTCTCGAATTTTTCCCACGTTTTCTTTAACTTGCTTTCGTCTCTGTTTGTTTGTCTTTCCAATCAAATCTTGCGATCGAAATTTCTGGCACTTCCCAGTTAGCTAGCGCGCTGAAATTTTCAGGGAAGCTTTGTTTTGGATGACAATAGAATATTCAATTGTTATTATTACTAAATTGATCCATGGAAACATTTTATTGATCATTTTAGACCGCTATATAATTGTACAAAAAACGTGGGGAAAAAGGGACATAACCCAGTGACTGTAATTTTAAGAAAACAAGGTTCGGTACTCTCCCTCTTTGCTTACTGAGTAGTGTTCACGCGGTGTTTGTGTACAAACAACCGTAACAACTGGTGGCCAGTATGAGGGAGACGATGTGGTCGAGTGGTTGGGCACACGATTGCTATCCCACTCGACACGGGTTCAAATCTATGTGCTCTAGTCAGTAACATATTCATACAACGTGTTTTTTACGAGTTGTCTTTTTACGAGACTTTAATGCTATACAACTTTTACGAGATTTTAATGCAAACAAACAGACAAAGACTAAAAAGTAGAAAATAATAATCATTAAAAAAGTTTTTAAAAACCCACGTTTTCTGATTGAACTAAAAAGTAGAAAATAAATGCTATACATTACAATAATGCAAGCGATCACTCTACTATAAGCGATCAAAAACGTGGGGCGCCGTGATTTTCTTACAGTTTCTAATACTGTTGACTCTCTACAAGTTCCCTAATAAAAGTCAATAGTATTATCTAATCAATAGTAATATAACTTTTACTTCGGCGCCCCACGTTTTTGATCGCTTATAGTAGAGTGATCGCTTGCATTATTGTCATGTCTAGCATTTATTTTCTACTTTTTAGTTCAATCAGAAAACGTGGGTTTTTAAAAACTTTTTTAATGATTATTATCTTATATAAAACAACAGGGGATGGCAACTCGGGATATAGACATGATTTTTAATCCATTTTAAATATTTAAACTTTAAAAAAATAGGAAAAAAATCTCGTAGACAAAACAATTGCACACCAAGTGAACTCCAAATAAAATGTCCATAATAGTACGGAATATTATTAGTACTTTATAAATTCACATGCGTTTTTGAGAAATCGGAAATAGCGAAAATTACTACATCCGGTCAACGGAAATTACTCAAAATTTTACAAAAGGCAGAGAATTAGATATTTTACTTACATGTGAAATTTCATTTATCTATCTGAAATAGTACTCAAGTTACCACTTCCGGTTATCGGAAATCGCTCAAAAGTTGATTCGGATCTACGATTTTAATATAATACGTAAATATGAAATTTCATCAACCTAGCTGTTCTCACGTTATCGTGTTTACAGACACACAGACACACACATACACACACACACACACACACACAGACATACGGACAAGATTGCAAAACTATGTTTTTCCGACTCAAGGAGCTGTAAAACGTCGAGATTTGTAAAAATCTCATTTTTTTAAGCACGGTTAAAAGACTTTCTGTATACTTTGTATTTACGAGAAAAAAAATTATTCAATGCTTTAAGTACATGAACATCATTTGGTAATTACCGACTTAAAGCAAAACCAAAAGAGTCTACAATTGTACACAAGTCAATGTGCTGTTTGAATTATTCGTTTACAATATGTACAATCCTAATATATTAAAGGCGACATATTTTCCGGGGCTAGCAGTATCTTCAGCAATATAATATGGAAAACTTAAAGATACGCACTGTT